AGATAGGTATTGAACTTTCTCTCTAGTCTCTACCCAAAAAAGACAGCAACCTCTTACGAAGCCAGTATATACTATATGCGTGTCCTATCTATTCTTATAATATCTTAAGGTGAAAGGTTCGTACAATCGTACTACCACAGAATCTATGATACCTAAGAAATTTATATATTTAACATAATATACCGTAGATAGGTAATGGTATGTAGATATTATATCAAATAAAAACTAGTTAACCTTTTTGGTTGTACTTAATCAAAGAAACCATGAGGAATATAACACCAAAAACGAACGCGTAAACAAAATTGCGATTAATAAATGTAAGGCTCAAGAGTCAAGGAGACACGATATTCAAACTAAAACCACAATAGATTAGCACGACTTTGGAATCATGTAGAATAGGCGGATGTGATAAATGCGATAGCGTTATATGAGAGAAATTCAATATAGAAAAGTAGTGGTTTATTATAATAAATTGACAGTCACAAATATCTGTCAGTACATTATAGTAATACCCAGAATAGATTAGGAATTTCAAAATTGCGTAGTTGGGTCGATGGCCACATGGACCACATCCGTCAGAACAGCGATACAGCATCACTAGGCAAAGGGGAGCGGGGACCGGACTATAAGAGGGACCCCGAAACGGCCTGTATTCAGACGTGTCTACTCATCGCTACTACAAGCACCTTCACGCAACTCTGTGTAACGATTGTCATTTGGACTCAGCACTTTTGTGATTGTTGGAACTCTAATAAACAACAGTATAATATTTGGCATTTGTGTTATAATTATTCAACCGATACCTCATCATCAAGTAACCGGTCTAGCTACCTGCAAACGTTAATATACTAGTAGCTATCAGAGCAACCAGTATATTACATCTGCATTAAATCTATAATATCTTAGTTGTTTTATAGATATTATCATGACGTATTGACGTGGGTTATCGTCATGAACACACGAGAATATTAATATTTAATATTTATTAATTTTATAGTTATCTATTATTATCTTAAAGTTAGTTCGTGGTTATCGTGTTGTAGTAAGTTGTTGACGTTGTACCAGTGTACCACCAACACCACCAGCTGATAGTATATTAATCCGTGGCTTACAGTAACCTACGTTGTTCTGTGGTACCTAGTGTACTGTACGACTGCTACCGCCATTAGAGTAGTTAGGGTACACTACTGTTTCAAAATGTGTTATTAATTATTAATATAGGTAGATGTTTCTGTCTCACTTATCCAACATTTTTGTGTACTCCATTCATTTTTGAAAAAAAAACAACAATAATCGCCTGGATTTTACACTGTTTAAACAGGTTGTAGTCATTATGTCTTAAACATAACAACCCTGGCGCCATTATAATGACGTTTCATGGTTAGGTACGAATTGAATTTTCATATTTTAAGTCCATCCTCTATCACAGAAAGAATCGCTAGGCAGGCTCAAGAGCGCAACTATAGGGAAGTCAAATTTTCTATAACATATTCCCTTAATGTTATTGGTGAGGAAATCATATAATAGCCATTAGACAACGATAGGCTATTTCATTTCCCACGAGTAGTGGGTGGGTAATTTCCATGGAATATTTTTAAAAGCCATAAAAGTGTATACTTAAATTATAATGATGTTTAAAAATTTGAATTTTCTAATTGTATCGAATGAAAAATTTCTCTACATTTCTGCTCTACTATGATATATTGCTAAAACTGGAAACAGTCGTCATACGTTGCAATAGGCTGTAGCAGTGTATAACACACTCTCACCGTCAAGTCAAAAATATATTTTTTAGGAATTAGGATTCATAATTTATATTATTATCTAATAATATAGATATTTACCTACATAATGGTTAATATAAATTGGTTATTAATTGTAATATAAAATAATCAATTGTTTGGAAAAATATACCATTTAATGAATTAGCCCCACTTAGTATTTTATTGGGTACCTACATTAGTTTCATTTTTGATATTATATCCAAGTAGAACTTTGGATTACAGGAAGTGTATTTTAATTTGATGTAAACATAGCTTTTTTTAACTATTTCATCGCTAGTTTATTTTAAAATTTTAATTGCAATTTTCAGCATTAAATGTAATTGTTTTACAATGGAATTAAAATATGAATATAAATGTATAACAGTACAATAAACAATTCATAGTATTAGGTTTTTTTTAGTGTCTAATAATAATTATACTATCATAATATTTCATTTTTGTATAGTATCTATACACCAATATATTAAGTAATGAGTGGATCAAACATAATGTATAGGTACGTATAAGTCACGTAGAGCAATAAAAACACGATTGTGGAAAAATTGTTGTAATTTTTTTCCATCTTATGTAATATCAAGTACACATAATTTCTTTTAAGTATTTTGAAAATGTGTATGCTACGGTCAGAGCGTATAATATTCGAGAAAAACAAACTGTTTTTTAATTTTGTTACATTGCCGGAAATGTTGTACCTAATACAATGGCCGTGAATTTTGTGAAGTGGCCAATTTACCGTTTGTGGGCAATGTACATTTTTAGTATTTCGTACAGAGAAATAAGTGTTTCAACTCTCGACGTCCGCGCATTTATATAGGTAGAATTTATTTGGCCTGTACGACGATAACGATTATCGATTGCTAGATTACATATTTACATTCACTCACGCTATTCGATAGTAACGAAGTATAATGACTAATAAATGACTGCGTATTTTAATATTTCAATATCGATACTGTTTTTTAATTTGGATATCTATCTGTAACTGTAATATATTCAAGATAATAATTTACATACTTATTGCCAAAGGGGTATGTATGTCCGAATAAAATGACTAAATAACTTACTTTTCCACGGAGGAACGGGAATTTTGTTACATTACAATAAAATATATAAATATTGTAGAAGGTGACACTGTGAATAATAAATATTAAATAAAACTATTTTTCATCAACAGCAAAGGCCATTAGTTAAATAAAACTATGTAGTTAAGGTAATCAAGTGAGTGTATTTTACATGTTTACATAGTATTTCAAATAAATAATATTGTTTTAAAATTTGGTGGGTTTTTTCGATATTTCAAGCACACGATGTTACAATTTAAATATACAATATATATAATAATAGTTCATAATAATAAAATATGTCGATATGGAAAATATATATTAATAATACTCATACCGGAAACATATTTTTTTGATTAAAAATTTTTTTTTTTGTAATAGCATTTTATTAAATGGTTAATATTAAAGGGGAAATAGTTTAAAATTTTTCAGGGGAATAATTACAATGAAAAATTTCGTTACAATATAATAATAATAATAATAATAAATTAAAAAAACAATAATAATAATAATAGTAGTAGGTAATAAAGCTTATAAATTTGACAGCTACAAACACTTAAGTGACCGATACGCGTATATCTATGTTTGTGAAACAGACTACAATACACTACATTACTCGAATATAGATACAGTTTGGGAAAATATTTACTCGGATATAAAAAAATTTCAATCTAGAAACTAATCAATTGCAACAGCCATAGATAAAATAGAGTTTCTATACATGATTTTTTTTTTTAATTAGGAAAGTCCAAAAAAAGTTTAAGTTGTTTAAGTGCATAATAAATAAACATGTAGTTCAAGGTATGCAATTCGGACAGACCCCTCTAAGAGATGGTATGCAATTTGGACATTTTTTTTTTTGGCATGCAATAAGCTTAAAGGGGGTTGACACGACACGGTGTAGTGTGAACCGGTTTGATTGATAATTAAGTTTAAGTTGTTAAAATATAACGAAATATTATTTTATACATTTTTATTATTATTTTATATTACTTCAGTATTATATATTAACTATTATATATAAATACATTTTATTAACTTAAATAAATATATTAATAGTTTCATTAAAATCTCATTATAACATAATAAAATATAATGTTTATCAATTTTTTTTAACATTTATATTATATAAAAATAAATAATTGTAAATTATTAATTAAAGACCAAAATTATTTTATATCTTTTTCATTACCTACATTTTTGCAGTGTGTTTTTGTCATTGTGTAGGTAAAATGCTCGGCCAAAGTGTATAATTTTCCACATTGTCCATTGAGCATTGTAAATTGTAATTATACAGGAATACATTGCCATGGCATATACACTACAACGCCTCATTATACACTTTGACCGTAACATATATATACATTATACACGTATTTTTTAATAATTATAATCATTTAGTGTTAGGTGGTGTTGGGTACTATGTTTTATTAAATGCATGCAAGATATCACCCCAAAATAAAGTCATGTACCAACGCTCTTTATAGTTTATTTATTTGTTGAAAGGGTCAAGTGGTCCACTAACTTCTGAACGTGATGTTAATTGTTTTAACTCTATTATAATATTTTTTTTTACTCTTATTATAAATTTTTTACGATCTTACATGGAGAAATTTATGTGGAAATCAAAGCTAAATTATGAAGAATTTCTGATTATATACGATCGAAGTCAACACCTAAAAAGCATAGTTAGTGTTTTACATTAAGACACATGAGTACCTGTCACTACATGACCAGATAAAAATATTTAATGGTTTATTAAGGCAATGTTCGTAATCATAAGAACCACTACCAATGCATCAAACAATAAGATAATATTATATTAGCTATATATATGCTCCAAACTACCACACTATAGTACTACACTAAACCCGATAGTGTATGATTATTGATTACAGCAGATATTGTCAACATATTAATTACACTAGCCATGCATTAGAGCAGTGCTAAAGTGCTTCCTATCGATTGGATAGCAAAATATTTTTGATGGGTTGCTGTTCGTGAAACTGCAATATCAAAGAAAACATCTTGATTGTAAAAAAATATACATACATGTATAAAATTAAAAAAAATTTAGTCGTAAATTGATTAAAAATTGTTAAGTTATGTTTTATTTGATACCTCTAAGTATAATAGTAATGTGAAGTATAACTGTATGCTACGAACTTTTTGGGAAGCATCCTTACAGCACCTGACAATTGCACAGAAGTTATCGAGAATAAATGACCGACATCTAAAGGCAGTCCGCGATCTCCCAGATGAAATAGCCAAGTGTCGTCTCCGTTTGGGTAACGTAATAGGTCAAAATGCTCAGGCTATCCGCTCAGAGTTGCGGGCGAGTGAATTTAACAAATGGAAACAACTATGCCAGAGGGGAATCGGTGTACTCTGGTATGATAAATGCACTCTCACAAACGCCTGGGTATCAAACAAAGGTGGTTTATCGGGCAGTGAATGGACCAACGCGATAAAAGCATCGATTAACTCAATGTCTAACCGTGGAACAGGGGGTCGCAGCGTGGGTGGTAGTCGCCATTGCAGAAACGAAGTATGCAATGAGAATAATATTGTTGAATCACTACCGCACATTAGAGGCTCCTGTCCAAAGACTGAGTTACTGCGAAATGCGGCTCATCATCGCGTTCGTTCAGCAATAGCTGACCTATTCCGGAGTAAAAATTTCGAAGTATATGAGGAAGTTCACTGCGAAACAACAAATGACGGTATCACCCAAAACCGTCGCGCTGATATTATAGTGCTGGACAGGATAAAAAAACCACGGACTCATTTTAGACCCAACAATTCGTTGGGAAACAAATAACCCCCTGCGAGATACAGCAGTGGACGAGGAAAAGAGGGCGATATACCAACCATGCGTCCCCATACTTAAGAATCAATACAACATCAACAACTGGGACGTCGTGGGTTTATGGTTTGGGGCCCGAGGAACCGCATCTTGCTTTCTGAGAAATTTTTTCAGAACCCATGGACTAAACATCTCTGATCTAGTAAAAATATGTTTGTGTATTCTATAAGGGATACACTCAATATTATAAACTACCACTTATATTCGTAAACCATTATATTATCATCGTTTATCTTATGTATAAACCTTATTTATTTTTATTTTATTTTATCTTATTATTCAATATTTAATCTGTATTTTTTTTATTCATTTAAATCTTAATTAATTCTACCTAGTAGACGTCTCATCCATTCGGAACATACAGCAATTTTATTTGTATATATTTTGTTTACTATAATTTTATAATTTTTAACAATCCTATGTATTTTAATATTGAACTTTTTATACTGTGTCTTTTGGCAACCCGCATAGTGGGCAGTCCGCTTAATAAAGTTGTTATATATATATACCTATAGTGTAGGACCTAGCCGGTGGCACCATTATATATTTTTATTTATTTATTTATTTTATTACGATAGCGGGAACTTTAAAATCTGTTGTATAATCTATCGGTAAATGCACCTAACCTAACTGCAGTCGATGGTGTCGTTGTGTTATACGTTTGGCTGTTCATTTACTTATTGTCCATTCAGTTGTGCAGTATACATCGAGACTACCAGAGTATAAAATGAATTCATTTTATTATTATTGGTAGGTACTATGGTGTCGTACTATAATAACAATATAGTTGAATCTAAACAAAAAAAAAAAGGGATGCTAATGATGTAGAAAACATGTGGATGCTAACGACCCTTCTCCCCCCCCCTTCGTTGCACCAATGAGGACAACTACAACTGTCAAAGCATAGGTATATTCGCACTGCGCAAAGGCGGACGGGCGACGATACGGCTAGCAAAAAAAGAGCAAACAGGACACCGCAAAGGCGGAAAACGGGTGGCGTGGGTAATATGGGTAATACGTGTTGACCGGCCGCAAACACGAGGCACGCCGATGGAGAGAGACTTACTAATTCGGACGGGTTGCCCGGTGAACACAAACGCGGTGACAAAAAACTGGTCGACCGGCAGGTACGTAACCACGAGGCCGGAAGGCGGGTAATCCGGAAGTGCACATAGTACAAGGAATAATAACTTTCCTATACTGTGGAAGTGGGTAGGGAACCAGTTGACGGGCGGCAATAGAAAATAGTGATCGGAGGGACCGGACGAGGTCGAACTTCGCAATTAATGTTCTGAGTCCCAAAATGTAATACACACACAGCAGAGTACCACCTACTATACATACGTGACTTATCCTAGGTAATATTATAAGGCAAACATGCGATTTAGTGGTGTTGGATAGTTTTCCCCAAAGGCGTCTTCTTAATCCGCTCATCACACTCTCGGCGGCGGTCCATAACGATGAGCATGCGTGCTGCTTATTGTACCAATATATAGGTTTGGGGCCGATGTGCAATGTACACCTTGCCCACCACGTAGTTGAGGAACTGATTCTAATATATTATTATATAGCTGGTATTTAACAATTTGCATTAATGTTGAGTTTACTCAATATCAGCATTTTGATTTTATGCTGTCATCACATGTGTAATTATTGTGCTAAAAAATACAGGTTGTGTATTTATTATTATGAAATAAAATCAAATATTAAGTTTGAATTGATCACAATATAATAATACGTATATTATTAAATATTAATTATAAATAAGTAACCAATATAATATTATTATAACGTCGCAATTTATTTGGAAGATTCACTATTTTATCGTGTTTATAGGTACCTACTATTATAATATAATATTGTATTACAACCACACACCATTCTGTATCGAAATTCGACTTTGTATACATGTTATCATTGTTATTATTATTATTATTACAATATCAAGATTTATTGCGCTCGTCTTTGCGTCGTCCCCAGCTGCTGCAGTAGGCGGGCTCGAAATCGGATATATAATAATATAATACTACACTATATAATACGCCATGTCCCGCGGTCCCAAAACGCCACCGACATCGACAGGCTTTAAATTGATATATGTGTGTTACGACGCGACCGGGTATAATACTATTCTGTTGTTGTTGTTATTATTATTATTAGATATTGACCCGATGCGGAATGTAGTATGGAGAGCGAAAGACTAATTAATAATATGAACAGCTGGATTTCAAAAGAAAAAAAACGAGACGAATAATAAATCCGTCGACGAAAAAAACGGATTTTTTATCCGATATAATATTATAATATTATCTTGACGTTTTGATCTATTTAAGGGCTGAGAAACGAAAAAAATACTTATAAGCCTTTGGTAGTTTTTAATATTAAATGAGTACAGTTGATTGGCCGTGATGGTATCACACACATTTTAATCACGTCAAATATTTGCACGCCATAATATCATGATAATATATTATAATATAACTTATATCCGTTTAGAGACGCAGAACAGCGACGTACGACTTAACTAGCGACGGTCGGTAATGTTTCCAAAGTTTTTTTTTATTTCACTCGCTAAAAGAGTTGATCTCGTCAAAATTTGACTCGAGTGAAATTAGGTAATATAAATGTTTTTTTTTTTTTGTTAAATTTCTATCCAAGCGAACAGTGACGCAGAACAAATTACTGAAGTTAATAATATGTAAATAGAAAGTGTTTTTCGAATAATGCTTGTTAAATATATAGGTCTAGACGTCTAATAAATAATAATAATATTATTACCTATTTTTCATATAGAAAAATGTTTTTTCGTATACTAATGATATAGTTAGACCTAAATTTATCCAACCTTTCAAGGTGAGACATTTGAAACGGAGATTAACATATTACACAGTTTGGAGTAAATAGATTTTAACTAATTTACTTTTTCGCTCATTAAAAGTTTTGATTTCAAAATAATTTTCCATCCGTTCTTATTTTTTTCAATCAACTTTTTCTCCATTAGAATTACAGGTTAATTTATTGTTATAGTAAAATGTATTTACTTGTATATTATACTTGCTGATCCCGTGCACTTCGTCACCCGCTAAATGTACCAACTCTACATGACTCAGACTTTTGGATTCTGAGTGGAACACGATGAATGTATTGATTTTAAAATGATGTGTGTTTTTTAGATTTTCAGTGAAACGATAAATGTATTGACTTTACAATGATGTGAGTTTTTTTTTTATTTTTATTTATTTTGTGTCTGTCATTACCTTTTACGACAGTAAAAATGCTTAGATTTTCTTCAATAGTATCTTTTCTGATAGGAAAGTGAATCTAGTTGGTACTTTGGGGGGTCAAAAGTAAAATGTTTCCAGTAGTTTTCAAACGTACCGGACGTCTGCGTTAAACGGCAGTTACATCCTTGTTTTTCGCCCTATTCAAATCCGGAAACTCCGTCTAGCAGGGAGTGACGGACGGAAAATCCAGAGCATCACCAGCTGGAATCACAGCGAGATGGAGTTTTCGGATTTGAATACCGCGAAAAACACGGATGTGACTGCCGTTCAACGCAAACGTCCGGTTCCACGTCAATCACGTGGCCTGGCCTCTAGTGAATCTTCGTAATCAAGATGTTCCGGTATGCAGATATCGCCGGCGACCTGTGGAGATATTCGATTTGGCGTGGATGCGATCTCGGCAGCACCTGCAGGTGTCTCAATATCTAAATCCGGACGCTCGGCCCCGTTCGGCACAGATAAAAATGTTGGCGTCGATATGTTGATCGCAGGAGACTCGCACGGCTGCAGTCGTGTTTTCAGCTCTGGCGGTAACGGCGGCAGGTGATTTCGGAGTTTTTGATTTCTGACGAGACTTCGTCAAACTCCAACAACGTGTCCAAGACCCTCGGTTCCATAATTCATGGTACAGGCGATGAAATACTATCATCGTCACGTGACGACTGTTCATCATTCAGACACAAAGATACGGGTGCAGTACATTTAACGACTTCTTTAAGGCCGTCACTAGTAACTCTTCGGTGAGCTCGTCAAACACCTTGAACTCCACCGAAGTCAATGTCGTAGTTGTCGGGTGTTGGTCACGGAGCTCACTGATGGCACATATAATTCGTGGCCTCACGGTCTGTGAAGGGTTGTGTTCCGTTGAATCCGTTGTGTTTGCATCTTCGTCCGCCATATTATATAAACTGTCTGTCGATGAGTCGATGGACAATTGCATACGCCATCGCAGGCCTGCAAGCTTCCAACTTCAGGTTGTTCGTCATTCGGGTACAGTAGTGGAGCTAAATCGAACGACCACTGATCGGAATCCACCTGTAAGTCGTCGGTCAATGTAGATGCCGTCGTCGACGGTTGTTCCATTATTTCGGTGTTGATATCGGACGAGCTTCCGCACACGGTGAAACTGTTATTGTCGGGACATAATATATTGATCAGATAGAAATATAATACAGAATAATAATCAATATATTATAGGTACGAAAAAACTGTGGGACCGTAAGAAAAATTATTCGTAATGATATGGTAATGGTTATTGATGAGTGTGGTTACTATGTAACAGGGCACGAATTGTAGATTTTTCAAACATTCATGTACATGGCAACGAGATATTTTATTTTTGTAAATCTAAAAATATCTGGATTTTTTAACATATTATACTATGGGTACGATCATTATTTATAACATTTTTTTTAGTTATATTGATCAAGAATACAAAATTAAAAGTTTTTTTATTGTTTAAATAAAATCGACAGTTTGTAAATTTGGGAAATAATACTAGATTATTTGATGATTTCATTCATTAATGTTATTACAAATTACCATATGTTATGAACTAATATAATAATATAATTTTTTACCTGTGTACAGTGGGCAAGAATTCAGTATCTTCATTGAGGCGAGCTCATGAGATAAAAGTCCGCAGAGCGAATGAACTCAGAACAAGAAATTGAATTCTTAGGTAATTCAATGATTTTAAACATTTTTTAATTTGAATAAAACAGTTTTAATTAAATCTCGCAATAAGTAGTAACAGTAATAGTATCTAAGTAAAGGCTTAGAATTTGTAACTAGCTTTGAACATAATGTGCTATGCGAGGCAGGCGTATAGCCGCTGGGAACAGACAGAGTTGCTGAGAGCAGACTGCTTGTTACATGACGATATATATTGTGTTCGTATAATAATATACGTATGATATCAGTGACACTACGATGTGTTACTATGTGTCTATTATGTGGGTTTTAAAGGAAAGAGATTGACCACTTCGTCATAGTAAAAATTTTCTAACACACAATGTTTCCGAATTGAAGGTAAATACCTAGCAGTCTTGTATAGTATTAGAATACCTCAGTCTTCGAGTGCTTTAAAATACTTAAGTATTTTAACACTTTTTTTATATTCGAATACTATTTTAAATACTTTTTTAAATAAGTTATTCAAATACATATTCTGAATACATTTATTTGTATTTTTTCCGGACAGATGTCACCACTGTTGTATTTTTGAAATCCTGAAATCCAGATTTCCTACTTTTCCGGTGGATTTTCTTTCATAAAAACCTTCTCCGTCATATACTCTTTCGATTTTTAAAAAATAATAATAAGAAGATCTGATAAGTAGTTCCAGAGTTTACCCGGTACAGCGATTTTAATTTCACATATTTTATACAGTTAGATATTTAAACTATAACTTATACCTAGTAAAATAAAAATATGAATAAAATGATACGAAAATCCTCCACTGGTTTTGTACGTTAAACACGCAACTACATGGTGTAAGGTTTTCACTTTTCTATTAATTGGTATGCAATAGACAATAGTTATTTTCTCCGATATGTTTTTTTAATAAATATATTATATTAACAAGATTATAATATTTAATAATAATAATATAGTTTATCGGTTCGCGCAGTGTACAGGCAATCCGGGTACATTGAGGTGTAGGTGACTACGAATGGTCGAAACGGTATCCTTCGGCTTGATAAATAAACACATTGGGTTACTGGGTAACCTCCCTTGTCTTAAGACTCACAGTTAGTTATAATTTTCTGTCTTTTATCAAACCTATTTATCATGCAAAACTGTATAGATTGTAAATTTCCTTAAAATAATTTTAAAAAAGTAGCATGGGCTGTATATTTTTAAGTGGCAATTCATGATATTATTACATAATAAAATAAACTATACAGTATACATAATATTATACTTTTTTCAAACTTTTATGTTTCATTTAAATGATTAAAACTTAGAAAATATTCTACGATTTGCAAAACGATAATAAGTAACCTGTTCTATTATTTCTATATTTGCCCCGAATTAATGTTTTTTTTTTTTTTGGTATACCTATTACAGTATGGTAGTCTTAAAAATTGTGCATACCAAAATAGTAGGAAGGTATGTTAATCAACTTATTACTATTTTTAACGCTAATATTAAATTAATCGTATCTCAGACAACGTGAATCTATATGGTTTAATTAAAACGAATATCTCACTAAATTGTATAATTAAATATACTTAATTTGACGCACTTATACCATTGAACCGCAGTTTTCATGGTAAAAGTACCTAAAGTAAAAAATGTTTAATTATAAATGTGAGTCGACATCGACAGTATTATAAGAGTATTAACAGACCGGTGTAAAATTAAATTAAGAGTTGAGAGGCCAATTAGGGAAATCATTATGTTATAAAATTTAATTCACGTTTCATAATATTTAATTTAATTATGTCCGAGGTCTGACTGTTGTCAAAAGTGCCTATTACCAACTTCAATATGTATTCGATTAAAAATCTGAATAAATTAAAAAAAAAATTTTAAATACATTATACATTTATACGATATTATATGTATGACGGTGGGTCATTAATTTCGAATATAAAACGACCACTATCGATTTATCCGTGTTTGTATTAAATGTGTATTATTTATTCTGCGTGATAACAGAAAGAGAAATCAACGATAAAGAAATTATCGATCATTGGGTAGATTATCAAATATATCGTTGTCATATGAATATCAACACAATTTGTAATGATGGCGATGAGTGGTTAATTTTAAGGAAAAATATAATAAAATAGAATAGATTGATTAAACGCAAAAAAACATATTTATTTACTGACACGCGCCGAAACTAGGCGAGCGGTGTCGATCGATCAACTGAAAATCTATATAATACAAAATATTATGCCGGTCTGCGTTGTCGCAGCGATCGGCCCGGATCGACCGGTCGATGTATGCCGACAACGTAGACAAAAATATAACAATCGGCTTATCGGCACAGAGCACACACAGACACAATATAATATAACAGTAATAATAATACAATTTATAATAGGTAGTAATAATAATAATAATAAATCACCACAGTTCGGCCAATCCTGACATTTGTTCGACTCGAACAAGGTTGTAGTAATAATTGAACAATATTTTTTTTTAAATACAAATAATTGAATACAAATAAAATTAAATGGAAAGAAAACGTTTAATCTCAGCGACTAGCCTATGTAAATAAAAATTAATTAGTAATAAAAAAACGGATTTATCTTTTCTCTTTTTTTTTTTTTGTAATACGTATATTAGAACTTGATCCACATTTTCATTCTGTCCGGACCAACGATAGTCTCGAATGGACGTTGTGTTACCTGAAATCCATCTATATCACCGATAACATATCTGTCGTGGTTCAAAACCTTACGTACTACATACGGACCACGGAACTTAGGTATTAATTTCTTGTTATGACCTACCGTCACATCTACGTTAGTAATCATTACATAATCATTCTCTTTGTAAATTGTCGGAGTTTTCCGTTTTGAGTTATATTGAGCTGCGTTACCCTCCTGTGCTTTCTCTATGCATTCGGCGGCTATTGTTCTCACTTCCTCTAGGTCTACACAACTCGTATTTATTTCATTATCTAATATTAGCCTTATCTCGTCGTTCACTATGCCAACCTGGTTTACTCCAAATAACAGAACACTCGGACTCTGACCAGTTGACCTATGTATGGTATTATTAATTGCAAACTCAACTACATTTAATACTCTGTCCCATTTATTCGTAGACTCAGATAATTTTGCTAACATGGGTACGACAGATTTATTGACGATTTCCACCTGGCCGTTAGCCCTAGGTGTTCCTGCGGCGACTAACACTAAATTTACAGATTCGTCTTCCAAAAATTGTTTAAATGCTGCGGACGTAAAAGACGTGCCACGGTCACTAATTATTTTCCGTGGCTTCGAATATGTTTGAAAATAATTACGCAAATGTTTTATTACCTCTTCCGTTTTTGTACTACGACATGGATATAATTTAACGAATTTTGTGAATGCGTCAATTACGACAAAAATGAACTTGTTTCGGTTTCCCGTTTTCTCCAGGGGACCCAGGTGATCTACGTGTATTGTTAAAAACGGTTTATCCCCCTTCGGAATATAATTAAGAAAACCTTCTTTTTTACCACTAGGAACTGTGAATTCGATACATTTTAAACAATTATTGACATAATCGCGTACCTTTGTTTTCATGTCTGGGAACCAGTATACGCGCGAAATGTTTTCGATAACTTTCAATAAGCCAACATGTGCCATATCGTCGTGGCACGTTCGTATGACGTTTGACTCCATAGACTTAGGTACATAAAATTTTACATTTTTATTTTCTTTTCTGTATACCAGTCCATTGCGTAACTCAAATAATTTACTATCTTTCGTTAATAACTCGTCCCTAATTTTAATAATGTCATCGTCTGTATTTTGCCTAAGGGCGAGCACCTGTTCGAATGAGTTAGACTCTAAAACTAAAATGGCATGGCATCTACTGAATGCGTCTACGTGCTGCATATTTTTGTTCGGGCGGTGAAATATGTTAAAATCGTAGTTTTGCAAAAATAACGCCCACCTGGAAATTCGTGGATTTATTTCTTTCTTACTCAAAGTGAGACGAAAACTATCACAATCAGTCATGACCTTGAACGTTATGCCCGCTAAATAAACATGGAAGCGTTTAATAGCATATACTACGGCGAGACATTCTAATTCGAAACTATGAAATTTGGACTCGCTCGGGGACGTGCGTTGACTAAAATAGAATACTGGTTTTAATATGTTATCTTTTTGTTTTTGCAATAATATTGCACCAAACCCTGACGAGCTTGCGTCACAATGTAACTCCGTATCTGCGTCGGGTGAATAAATAGCCAAAACTGGTGACTCGGTCAGCGTTGTACACAAAAATTTAAAAACGCTTTGTTCCCTATCTCCGAACATAAAATGTGTATTTTTTTTGACGAGATCGTAAAGTGGTTTAGCAATAGTCGAGAAATTAGGAATAAAACGGCGAAAATAGCTGGCTAACCCTAAAAATTGTCTTACTTGTTTTTGGTTTTTTGGAATCGGATAGGTGAGCATTGCCTCAATGTGTCTTGAACTGGGACGTACGCAGTGTTCATTAATTAAATACCCGAGGTACTCGACCTCTTTAAAACCAAAAAGACATTTATCTAATCGAAATTGTAAGTTGTGTTTTGCCGCCAAGCGGAAAACTTCTTTTAATATTGCGAAGTGTTCAGTATAATTTTGGGTTGCAATCATCATATCATCTAAATATACTAAAAGATCGCCCCGGCGGATTAACTCGTGAAAAACAAACTGAATAAATCGACCGAATACTCTGGGCGAGTTGGTTAACCCAAACGGCATTTTTACATATTCATATTGTCCTAACGGTGTTACGAACGACGTATACGGGATAGATTTTTCACACATACGGACATGATGGAATCCATTCCTTAAATCTAATAATGTGAATATTCTCTTATCACGTAATCGATCCAATTGATCGTCTATCAGAGGTGTCGGAAAATTATCTCTCACTGTTATTTTATTAAGCTCTCTATAGTCTATACACAACCTATAGTCTCCCGATTTCTTTTTCACCAATACGACCGGGCTGCTATATGCACTGTTACTCGGTCTTATCACTCCTTCAGATAACAGCTCGTCTAAAATAACACGTAATTTATTTTGTTCGCTGTATGACAGGCGTCTAGGGCGAAAGGAAATGGGTTGTTCATGCTTAAGAATAATTTTCATATCAAAATCTACATTACCGTCGTGCGATTCTACGTTTTCTTTTAACATATTATGGTATTCATTGTTATACACATCAATAAATTTATTTCTTATCTCCGTGTCCAAATCCGGATTTATATTCAATAAACAATTATTACGGTCTTTTTCGTCTTGACCATAATTAATACATAATATTTCGTCGAAATTATTATCGACTTCTTTCATAATGACATCGCTATTAAGATTAATGATATTAACGTTATCGTTCACAAATTCAATTTTAAATCCGGGTTTAGACAGGAGATCCCTACCTAGAATAGCATCAGACGACATGGTGTTATACGGTACAATATAAAATTTAAAATCTATGACATTATTATTGATTGTTACATTAGTTTCAAAAATCCCCAATATATTTAACTTAGCCCCGTTAATTCCATAAAAATTACTATCACCTGCCGGTTTAATTACAGCATAATTATTTGGAATAAACTCACATTTTAGAAGGCTGATGGGACTACCTGTGTCGATCACCGCGTTGAACTTGACATCGCAACTTTCATGTTCGGCAACAGGGACGTCTATGTGGCATTGTACCTCGTACGGCTTCGGATAGTCAACGGGTGGTGCATCATCGTCTGCCACGTCGATGTTCATTAGCCCTGGCTGCTTCCCTGTCGATGCGTCGGAACTCTGTTTCGTACGTCCTGGACAACTTCCTATTTGATGTGACGTCGAACCACATTCATAGCAGGCACCCTTTTCCCTCTTCGGTTTTGGACATTGAGGTGAAATATGTGTTCTCGAGCCACAATTATAACACGATCTGACTGTTGGTTTTCCTTCGTAATCTGTCATGGTTTTCGTACTTTCCTTTTTCGTCGGTAAGGACTGTGGTGCATCATTCTGCTGTCGTGGTGTAGGCTTTTGTACACCGTTGTCTTTCATGTTTACTGACGGCTGGCGAAAACGTGTCGCACGTGATGTATCTAAACGTTCATACTCGACCATGTCGCTTAATAAGTCATCTTCGTCTCGATGGTCACGGCCCAATAAATACATACTTAGATCCTTCGAATATAGACCTTCCAAAACTTGTATTTTTGATTCGTAAAACGATAGACCAACTCGTTTGCACAGGTAAACTTTCTCATGAAAATATTCGCGTACATTCTCGTTTCGTAATTGGACGCGACGACTCATCTCTTTCCAACAATCACCTGTCAACACTACGCCTACGAACGTTTTGCGAAATTGTCTTTCAAAATCGGCCCAATCTTCAATATCCCTCGATACGAACCAATGACGGGCGGCACCGTCCAGATTTGCCCGCACAGACTGCAATTTGAAGTTGTCTGGCCAGCGATGTAGGTTAGCGACACCGTTCACTGTTCGCAACCAATCTTGAGCTTGCGCGCCCGTTGTTAGCCCATTAAAAATTGGAATAGACTTGTTCAAATCTGGAGCGATCGTCATGTCGTTTGACGATTTCCTATCTTGTTGTGACTTCAACAGCTCCATTAACATGGCGTTTTGTGACAACAAAGTACAAAGTAGTGTATTCGCATTCACATTACTTGTATCCACATTCATTTCATTCGGTTCGTTCGGTATATTATTGGCGTGCACTTCCGGTGTATCATTCGTTTCATTCTCCTGTCCTTCATTGTTAACATTTTCTTCTTCATTCATGTTACTACGGGATCGTGTAACAACTCCGGTGTTCGCATTCGGTGGTTTTGACATACTGGTTAACATTCAAATTAAATACACATTCGGAAAAAAAAAATTACGCAATAACAATGACATTCATGTTTGGTTCAGTTGAATCTGAAAACGATCCCACTTCTGAAACTGATGGCGATGAGTGGTTAATTTTAAGGAAAAATATAATAAAATAGAATAGATTGATTAAACGCAAAAAAACATATTTATTTACTGACACGCGCCGAAACTAGGCGAGCGGTGTCGATCGATCAACTGAAAATCTATATAATACAAAATATTATGCCGGTCTGCGTTGTCGCAGCGATCGGCCCGGATCGACCGGTCGATGTATGCCGACAACGTAGACAAAAATATAACAATCGGCTTATCGGCACAGAGCACACACAGACACAATATAATATAACAGTAATAATAATACAATTTATAATAGGTAGTAATAATAATAATAATAAATCACCACAGTAATAACTGGCAATTATTATTGATGGATTTCAAGAAAGCATACGGCAGCACACACAATATGTAAGGTTGTACAAAGTAATGCAAACATTTTGTTTCGCTATGAAACGGATATAGTTAACTAGTTTGAGCCTGAAAGAAGTGCACTACCAAAACACCAAGTGAGGGCAGACAAGACCGTGTTATCAGTCTACAGTTGAGACTAGATTAAACAAGGAGGCACTCTCTCCTATCCTGTTTAACGTAGTACCTATTGGAAACAGGGGCGGACTGGCTCCTTCAGAGCGGCCCGGGAATTTTTTTTCAAGCGGCCCATCGCCCATAAACCATTGTCTAAGGTCTTTTTTTGTAACATCGATGGCGTTGCCGCCTGCCGGAACTACTTAAGCATTATATTGACATATTGTCTAAGGCCTAATCTAATACACTATTGCAGCACTTACGTTTGAAATACCAGACATTTTCTCAGTTGAATATTTAAATTATAATTAATACTAACAGAAGATAAATAAAACATTTTAGAAATTTGATGGACATCAATACCCTATTACCCTATTTGCTATCAATAGGTATATTTCTTTTATATTATTAATCGGTAATCGTCAACCAGTACAAAAGTATATTTTCCTTCTGTGGCGTACAAACACTAAAAAGCTACATAGGTGTCATAATTCTTTTTACTTTTTATAGTGTTAAATAAAACCATATTGAACATTTACTATTTATAATGTTTAGTTATCCATAATTTTAAATAAAACACTTAAGAGTAAAAAATATTTGAAATAAGTTTTGTTACTGAAGAACCTCAATATACCTATAATATAACTCAATAGTAATTTATCATGTAAATAAAATTATATTTTATATTATAGTTATATAATATAAAATACATAAATTATAATTGAATAACATAAATAACAAAAGGTAGAGTTAAATTATTATTTGTTAATAATAATATAAAAATATTACGTTTGGATGCAGAGCCTTGGTTTTTATCAGCGTTTTTATTCAAATACTATAGAAAAATATAAAATATGTGGTCTTAGGGAACCGTAACAATATGAATTAAGAATAATTCAATTTAAAAACGACAAAACAACAACACATGGTGGGATTCAAAATTCTAATAGCTAATAGGGGATAGCCGGATAGGCCTCTAAAACTAATAATTCTATTATATTTTAAACCATTTAACCAATTTTTAATAATAATTGAATATAGATTAAAATGTATAGGCCTTATAACAATAACTTTACTTTCTTTACAATAAATTATAATAATATATTATTTAAAAATTGATTTGACTTACCTTTAAAAAGCTGAGTTTATGATCGTAAACATTGCTTCGAAAGTAATCTTTCTACTTGACAATACAAAATACAAATGAACTAATAAGTAATATTTATATTTTATATAATATCACAGACGACAGTGTTGTTAGTCCCGGACGAAATCACGAAAACAGTATATTTTTAAATTATATAACAACTAACAACAATAATACATCGAATTAATAATATATCGTTGTCGTATATTATAAACAACACGGGGACGGCGACCGGCAGGCGGCATCGTAATTTCTA